GATGATGTGGTGGAAGTGGGTGTTGCGGATGTGGTGGAAGTGGGGGTTGCAGATGTTGTTGTAGTTGGAGGTGGTGGTGGTGGTGGTGGTGGTGGTGCTCCGCCACCAACGAAATCCCAGGATATTGGAACTCTTCCGGCATTTGGATCAGCAATCGCATTAAATGCGGCTGGTGACAGATCTAAACTACCAAATGCGCATTCAGGGCACTAAATTGAAAGATTAATTTCATTAGTCTACTTCATAATTTCAATCGAATAACATTGGGACTCACCAGATCAAGTATAGTAACTGTAGTGCTTCCTTTTGGCCCTGTTACTGTTGCCTGTTTTCCACAAATAGGGTTACTATTAGGATTTGCCGGATTCCCCCATTGTGGTTTATTAATAGCGGCAATAAAGGAGCCCGCACCACTTGTTTGTCCGCATGCTCCTACTCCAGGATTATAAAAAGTTCCATCACCAGAATATTGACCTCGTTTCTCATGAGGCACCGACGAAACGAAATAGCTTGTTGTAGAGATTATTGCGAAAAATGAAAGTATAAATTTTAAATGAATCATTTTTCAAGTCGAAATATGTTGGATGGAAATGTTAAAGGTATTAATTGTGGATTGGATGGTAATTTTTGTTTCTTTCTTCCCTAAAAAGCTAAAGTGTTAAATGGAAAAAGAACAAAATAAAAAGGGTATTTGGGTATTTCGCTCGCGAGACGGGAGAATGTGTGTGTGTGTGTGTCTAGTTGTATGTGATAAAGAAGGAAAAATTCTCAATCGATGAGGAAAGAAGGAAAAAAGGAAAATACGCGAAAGTGGTGATGATGATGAAGGAGGTTATGATGATGGTCGAATTAAAGGGAAAGGTTATGGTGGTGATGGTCGAAGAAAGGGAAAGGGAAATGATGAATAGGAAAGAAAGAGTGTGAAGTGCGAAAGTATAAAAAAGGGCAAAACAAATTAAAATTTCGGTGAATTGGTGTTATATTATGCAAATTTTCATTCGTTCATTATCGAAATTAAAAACCGTCACGTTACGCAAAAACGCATACATGCATAATTTTTTTTTAGTAAATATTTATGAAGAACGGCCGACCAATTATCATCGATTGTGGCGCATTTCTTTTTGAGTTTTTCGGGTAACTTTCGCGTGCTTTGACAAGACCCATTTGTAAAATTAATAATATGTTAAAGATAGAAAACGCAATTTGATTGATTATCGAAATAAATGATCGGAGCGGTGCATTGCAATGTCGTATTAATTAAACACAGAAAGCAGCAAGGTAAACAAGGAGACTCGATAGTTTTTTTCTTCCGATTTTTTTGATAAAAATTATAAAGAAAAGATGAGTCAAATCCTAACGCTAACAGCATTACTCGTTATTTCTTTTTATGTGACTTTTTCATCTTCTATCTCGATTCCTAAATATGATAAATTATTAGTGTTTGGTGATTCCTATTCTGGTTAGTAATGAAATACCAAATAATTAATAAAAGAAAATGGGTAATAAATAAATGATGATATATTATTTATTAGATGATGGAAATGTGTACAAATTATCGAATGGAACTTGGCCACCTCCCTTCTATTTTAAAGGTGGATTCTCGAATGGTCCACTTTGGACAGCTTTTCTATCTCAAAGTCTTTCGGCTCAATTAGAGAATTACGCATATGGAGGTGCGACTGCCGAGTGAGTTTTTATCTCATCTTGTGTTAATATTTGACTTTTATTCGTAATTAATATTTATTATTGTTATTGTTATTCAAAGTGATGACTTTATTCAAGGTAGAATAAAAATTATTCTAATTAGTACCTGATATGAAATAATTCTTTATCTTACGTGTTCTGTCTCGTGTTATTTAAAATTTAGGTTATTCCGGAGCAGATGGAACGCTCAAAGTTCCAGGATTAAAACGGCAAGTTGAGGCTTTCTCTGCTAAGCTTTCTAACGGAACCGATCTTAGTCACAGTCTAGCTGTGGTAAATATATAAGTTCAACTATATATATATAGATAATTTTTATTTCGTTTTTTATATAAAGTAAATAATATATGATATTTTAAAAAAGGTTTGGTTAATAGGGAATGATTATCTTAATACCAACTGGACAGCTGCCCCCTCGAATGTAATAGCAAGATCAGCTTTATCTTGGTATCTTTTGTATCAAAAAGGAGTTCGAAATTTTTTATTGCCAAACATGCCCGATGTCTCGCTTTTTCCATACTTCAAAGGGTCAGATCCATCTTATCTCGCTATAATCAAAGACGTTTATCAAAAAAATAACGCAGAACTCAAAAAATCGATCGACACCTTCAAACAAGCAAAGCCTGATGTTAAAGTCTATGATTTCCAAACCGATCAATTTTGGGTGTATTATCGACAGGTGCAAGCTTCTAGACTTGGCGTCACAGATTTCGTAGATGCGTGTGCGAGTACTTACGAGAATAAACCGTTAACTATTTGTTCCAATCCGGATAGTTATTTCTATTGGGATGACTTTCACCCTGAAGCAAAAACTGAGCAAGCTCTTGCGGCTGCTTTTTATGCGTCATTGGGTAATTAATTACAAAGTTCGTAATCTTATAAAATTCTGAGTAGAGAAAAGTTTTGGGAGAATTGGTTAAATAAAATTTACTGAATACAATACTAGAACTTGATAAATGCTGTTATTGTGCTAATTATAATTCTTTTAAATAAAATACAATATTACCTGAAACAAAGAGGGACGTAAAATTTTCCGTAAATAGAAATTTTTGATTTGTCTAACAATCAAGTAATAATCATTATTCAATTCCCATTACGTTACATATGTATATTGCCCAATGAGTTACAACAAAGTATATGCCTGTTTCTTTCATCGGATATGTAACAAAAAGTCTTTGCACGAAAAGATCCCCGCAGCATTATCGCACTGCAGAACTGGATCCGGCGCCCATATGGTACGAAGTACAACGTAACGTGTATTCATACCCAACTTTGGAAATCTAAACATGAAAATTATTTATATTATGTCAATAAGCTCTTTATTCTTAAAATAATATATTCTCCTGGTTCTTTATCCATCATGTGTCACAGTTAGACAGGGTTGCTAACTATAAAATAAATCGGGTCTAAATGCACAATTCGGCAGAACAAGAACAAAACGATGGATGTAGGGATCTACTGGATGGTTGGATGTGTCAAAAAGCCGACAAAACAAATCTCTTGATAACAATTGTATTCTTATTTTTTTTTCTTTAAATACGATGCTCTCCCGCACAATACTTGAAATAATATGTGACCACGCAGTGCGTTCCATCATCGTTATCATCAAACTCATTCCTTCTCACTTTGTCCATTTGGAGCATTATTCCTCTTAACTCAGTAGAATTCTCTCGCTCTCTTTTCTTACATACTCTCTTCCCTTATCTATACCATAATTACCTCCTATAACATCACACGCAGCGGGACTGTGGACATTTATTTCTAAACTTTAGTCCATTTTATTTTATAAGAAATAAAAATTTCATTTACATCAAAATGTTTACAGATATCGATTTGTCTGATGAGAAAGAAGTGTCCAATGATAATAATGCTCCAAAATCACCTGATGAAAGCAAAAAGGAAAAATCATTCTTTTATAATCATGTGATTAAACCCTTCAAAAAGAATCCAATGACCTGTGCAAGTATAGTGCTGATCTTTTTATCGACACTACTCTTGTTTGTGTTATTGGTGGGCGGAAGAACAAGAAGTGTGTATTTATCGAAATTCGTCTTCAAGGATCCGATAAAACTTATCACGAAAAAGAATGAACTCACTTTTACTCTATATGGACATTGTGTTGATGACCAGTGCACTCAACCAAATATGTTGAACGATTTTGATAAAAGTAGGTTTTTTTTAATCAATCAAATAAATATTTTCATTGATACGTAAAAAGAATTCCTGTTAATTTATTTACTTTGATAGTGCCTTCCTCATCCGAGATCACAAATAATGATAGTACCGGCAGCAACGGTAGCACCAGTAGCAGAAAAGTAAAACGTATTGATGTTGGCGGTATCGCCAATGGTGCAACCAAATCGGCTGGAAATGCAGTTAATAATGCTGGCCAAACAGCCACTAATGCTGGCCAATCAGTTGGTAACACAGTTAATAACGCTGGCCAATCAGCTGGTAATGCAGTTAATAACGCTGGACAATCAGCTGGTAATGCAGTTAATGATGCCGGTCAAGCAGCTGGAAATGTCACCCAAAAAGCTGGAGACATTGCACAAGATGCAGGCCAAAAAGTTGTTGATGCTGCCAATGACGTTATCAAAGAAGCAACGGGTCTATTAAATTCATTAGTACAAGCATTCGAGAACTTCAAACCAAAACATCCAACCGCCAATTTCTCCGGATTCATATCTATTCCATATTTAATTGCTCTCCTATCGAACATTTGTTCCTTGATCTTACTCTACTTTCACTTCCCAACACCTGCAACTTTATTCCTGCTCGCTTCTACCATCCTGAATGGACTCGCACTATTCTTTGATTTATTGGTGTTCGTCTGGGTATTTGATCTAATATCAGTCATACCTGGTATTGGAAGTCAATACACCGGTCCAGGGATCCATTTGGCCGCTTGGAGTGCTGCATTCTTGGGTATTGCAAGCATAATGTTGGGTGGGCGTCTTTACTATAAGATCTGTTGTGGCGGTTTTTCACGCGATGCTTATAAAGCCGTGAAAAAACAAATGAGCAAAGGTATAAAGAAATTACGAAAACCGAAAGTTAACGAAGAGGAGGAACAAAAACAATTGCAGGATAAGGTGTAATAATACAATAAATAAGACGCGTGTATTTTTATGGAATTGTATTCTGAGGGAAAGTCATTTTATTCCCCGCTTTTTTTTGTATAAATTATAGACATTTTTGTATTTAATTTTGCATATTATTTGTATGCAAGCCCATACTAACATTAATAGCTGAGCCAGCGCATGGATGATGGCTTAATTCATAATATCACTAATAAAAATTAATTATTTACAATTTAATTGACATACTAAAATTACCGTAAATTATTGGATGAAAATGAAGAAATGTGAATTAATGAAGAAATGATTTCTTATGTAAGTTTGAAATTTTCCTTTTTCCCATGATGGAACCTTCGATGAGCCTCCATTCTTTAGTCACATCACGTTTCAATTCTATTGCACCTCCTTGTGTTAATTGACTAATCATCCTTTGCAGGTTTTCCAGTATTTTCGACTCCTGTAGCAGGAAATAATTCCTCAAATATCTCATTCATTAAATCTGTATAAGCGGGATATTCATTCGGGTTTGCGAGAATATTCTTGAACGAGGCGGTTTGTCGTACAGCAACAAAATTACTAACAACAAATTTCATAGCTTGTTCTTTCAATTCTGGATATTTCCACGCGGTACCGAAAAGAAATTCCGCAGCATCATTGACATTTGAATCTTTAAATATATCTAATTTTGCTAGTTGCCTTAAATCATCAATCAAATATTTGTCCGCAATGCAAAACATATCAAGTGCAGTTGTGTGAGTATCTTCATCCTTGGTATCGGTAAATGCCACACGATTAGTGTAAAGGAAACGAAGCATCTCAAGAAAAGTTTCGTCATGAAAATCAGGCACATCAATATTATGAGCGAACTTCGATTGATTAACAAGGTGCGCATCTGCTGGAATAATAGCAGACGCATTGGCGGAGATGATTGTAGGCGTAGCAGATCTTACAATAGTATTATTATCAGCAGATTCAGCCCATGACCCCTGAAATATCTGTCGAAAATATTTTGATCGCTGTGAAAGGATAGCAGAATTCGCGTAAATTATCTTCCCTTGAACACTAAATTGTACATCCGCACTTTGCGGATTATTTAATTGTCCTTCCCAAGCTCGCACCAAATCATCTGGCACATGATTGTATGGATGCGGATTACTTGGCAATGGCCACTTCTGTGAGACTAGTCCAATTTCGACTTTTTCAAATTCTACCCCAAAAATCACTTGATCCGGTAATGTTGCCTTTTTATAGAAGGCCTCCCATCCTATCGATTAGGTTGGGTTTTGTTAGTAGAGATATAATCTAAGAATAAAACAATAGGTAATTCTCTGTATTATTACATACATACCCCAGCCAGATAATTTCGCAGAAAATGAGTTCATTTTCACAGGAGTTTTCTTATAGAGTGCATTATTTCTGGGATTTTTCAAGAATAGTTTGGCACTCAAATTATTACGCCTTGCCCAAGTAGAGTTAGTATTTGCCTCTTCATGATTCGGTATCGCGAATAAGAAAGCAGCACAGTAGTCTGGCTCTTCCGATGAAGACTGCGTGTTGAAAGAAAAATCTTAAACAAAAATTATCCAAGTTTAGAGACAACACTGGTTAAATACATACAGGAATGAACTCTAATTGCCAAAACATGTCGTGAGACGTTCCAAATGGTGGACTGTAAATAGTCGAGGTGAGGGTTGAAATCCCAGACAAGAGAAATTCATAGGAACTCTTAGTCTTGAAAGCAGCGGACATTTATTATGGCAATTTTTATTGTTAAGAGCTTTTTTATTCTACTGAAAAGAGATTCTGAGATTAAGTTACGAGTTTATTCGCTGATTTTGTATCCAAAGAGAGTGTGTTGGAGTATAACCGAGAATGGTAGTAAAATATCGATTGCAAATGAAATTCCCGCCGAAAAAACCAAAATATAATTATGTTTATTGAAGAATGTCAGACATTTATGGAAATTGACGTGTACCTGATAGTTTTGTTGGAGTATGAGTATGCGAATAAGTATGTTGTGTAAAGAGACGAAAAAGGGTTGATCACTTTAACAAGAAATTATATATATTTGGTATAATTTTTTTTTATTAATGATCGTCGTTTTGATATATGTGTAATAATATGTGATATCTTTTTTAATGAATCTGCATTAATATTAATAAAAAAATTATAGCGTGATGGTAGATAACATGTATAAAACCAGTCATATATGTATATATACATATATGTATACACACACACACATATATATATAAATGTATATATATCGTTGAATTTTAATCAAAAGATAAAACTGTACAAGTTTTTTTTTGGGAAAGAACAAAAAGATTTTAGATTCTTTGATCTCACAAAATTCACTCATAATTGAAGTTTTTTGTAAAAAAAAGATGAATGGCAATGATGCTGACAATCAGAAGAAATATCTTACATATACGAGAGAAGAATAGGGTATACAAGAGTAGGGAGTTAATTGATTTTGTAAAAATAGACAAAAAAGAAATATGTTCAAAAGAATAGTAAAAAGCCTAAACAATATTTATCATTATAAAAAACAAAATTGAGTAAAAAAAAGGGAGAATTTTGTTGGTTAATAACACCAGCAGTTCTCCCCACTCATATATATAGCCATCTATGTACAACAGAATATAGTAACGCCACCTCGAATAAAATACCCTCTTTCAATGGAATGAGGGATGCCATTATTTTATATCAGCCAATTTCTAATTTTTAATTCGTCATCTTCATCTAATAATATAATAGTAATAATGATGGTGGTGATGATGATGATGATGATGATAATAAGTAATAATAATTATATTATAAACTGTAATTTTTTGTCGCGAAATTAATGGTAATATGCATTTGGACCACCGCCTCCTCTTTGAATTGGACCATTTCCTGGTCCTACACCAGCTCCAACCGGCGGACCTGGATGTGGAATATTAGGAGAAAGATGGTGTGATGGATGTCCATTCCCCACATATCCAGCTTGATCTCGAAGATAGGGTTCTCTTGACATTCCAATTGGTGATGGTTGTGGTGGATTTCCATTTACACCGGTCTCTGAAAGATGTGGATGATGATGCGATGATAACCCAACAGAAGGCAGACGTGGAGTGCCATTACTAGATGGTTGTGACGGTGGTGGTGGTTGATAATGATTCGTTTGAACTGACGGCGGAGCCCTCGGTGTTATAACTGGACCCATAGAAGGTGAGTGAGGTATTGATGATGATCCACCTGTTTTGTTATATGAAGAATGAGGTGGAGCTCCATGTGAAATATTATAAGGCTGAGGTGGTGGTGGATTATTTTGTGGAATTGATTGATGATAATGATGTGAATGTGTAGAATGGTGTTGATTATTAGCATGTCCATCATGTCCGTAATGACGATGATGATGATGATGTGTTGGATGAGGAGTGGATGGAGGATGATGATGATGTTGTGGCTGATGGTGTGGTGGTGGTATTCCAGGTTGAATTGGTGGTAATGTGGTTAATGGCGGTACTCCATGTGATGATGATGGTGATTGATTTATATGACCACCACCTGCTGTTGATTGTCTATTATTGCTGAGAGGTTCTGGCATCGCAGCTCGAATTTCCGACATTGTGTGAGTTCTACTTGGATGAGCCGAAGGTGAATTAATTGGATGTAAATTTGGAGATGAATTGCGCGAATGAATATTTTGATGACGTGAATTTGAAGGTGGAAGTGGCGGTGGAGGCACTTGTTGCGGCAAAACATTAGATGATTGCGGTGGATTGTTATTTATTTGGTGATGTGAAGAATAACTGTGACCACGTGTCGCTACGGGAATCGGGTTAGAATTTTGTGGTTGCACAGGCTCTGAAGCTCGGCGATGAACTGCCGACTATTTATAATAATTAAGATTATTTAAAGGATAAATATTTCAAAGAGAAATAATTTTTTCCTATAATAATGGGAATAAAATTAAGAAAGTTTAAATTACCTCATTATGTGGAGAATATACAGTTGGATTCACTGCGGCAGGAGGGGCAAGATATGTTTCCATACGTGATCCGCTTCCATACATGGTGGGACCACCATTTACTTGACTAGGTGGAGGAGGTTCTGAATGATTTACCATTTGTGTTGGCGAATTTGTGATTGTATGGTGATGATCTACATTATTAATAGATGAGGATCCATTCAGCATTGGCTGTTGATGCCGAGATGGATGGTGTGGAGGTGGTTGCGGGATGTTATCTTTCGCTCTTTCCCGTTCCTGTTTCATTTTTTATTTGAAAAGTTTATTTGAAAAGAAATAACCAATGATAAAGCGTGGGAAAATAAAGAAATGTCCACAAATTTAGTAAGAGATAGAAATATCCATGTAAATTGATAGTTCAGATATCAAATCTTAAAAAACAAACAGAAACACAAAAAAAAACAGGATAGGTTACGGACCATTATTTGGTTCGTATAAATCATATAAGTGATATAAGCGTGCGTCGCATTCCTCTTTGATTTCGGATCATGCTTCTGTTTCAAAAGGGAATTGATCATAAAATCATTCCAAAGAAGGCGGGGCAAATTCGATAGGGTAGCCATCACAAGACGAAGTTATACGTACCATTGAACGATATTTATCTGGAAATTGACTCGAAACAGAAATCTGTCCATTTGGTGTCGGCGTATGATGAATTGATTGAGGCGGTAGAGGTGGTGTCATTTCCTATTAGTAAAATAACCATATTAAAATTGAACCATTTATAAATTCAAATAAGTTCTAGATAACTCACCATTGCACCTACTTGCGATACATGAGAAAATCCATTAACTGCGTGCTGAGGTGATTCAAACTTTAATGCTCTGTGATCGTTTGGACCACATTGCGAGAATGTTGTTGATTTAGTCTGAGGATATGATGTTGATGAATCTTTGGAGATCGACTGAGAGTGTGGATGATATACAAACCGATTTCCATTATTATGATTACTATTATTAAGAGCAGCCTCATTATTAACAGACTGTCCACCGTTATCTGACAATCGATTCTGATAAATTGGAGGTGGCTGCGATTGTTGTAGGTGCGATTGTGATCGATTACGTTCCCAATCCATTGCAGCTAAAAAAAAATTAGATTAAAATAATTATTATTATATTCGTATAGTAATGTTATTTATTTAATATTATTACTCACGTTGATGAGAGGATGGCGGAACGCCGGTAACAGGATAATATTTACGGTCTTCACCGAGATGTTGATGTTCTACATATTTACGATCTTCACCAAGATGTTCCACTAAGTCATTCATTTTGTGACCACCGACAGCAGATGAGGGTGGAGCACCTGAATGATAATGGTTCTGTGAATGAGATGTACGCGGAATTTTTGTCTTTTGTGCTCCTTTAAATACAATAAAAATACATATAAAAGAAGACGACGCAAATTGATAAAAAATCAAAAATGCGTCGCGTGCACAAACAAAAAAAAGAAAACCCAACAATCTTCAATAGATTATGAAATTATCGATAAAAAAGTGATATTTACCAAAATCATTGGCATCAGAAGGTCTTCTTTTCTGCGGACTATGGCTAGGGCGTTTCGCCACACCTTTCGGTTCTTTTGGTGGTATCTTTGGGGTAGTTGTATTAATAGATATATTATTTGCACCCTGATAACAACGCAGCAAAAGATTACTTGGAATGTAACTTTCATAATATTGTTAATTCGGATATACTTACAGATGGTCGTTTGCGCCTTTGACTTTGATTATTACCGCTAACATTACTAAGACTTTGATGAGAATAATTATTGGTAGGAGGTAACGGTTGTGGTTGTGGTTGTGGTGGTGGTGGTACATTAATGTCAATCGCATTTCCAACATGAGGATTTATCTCTTCCTGCATAGGAAGATGTTGATATTGATCATGTGGATGATACCGTTGTTGTGAAATAGATGGTGATATCTCCTAATTTATTATAATTATTTGAAGGGTGAGAAAATTTTAACGACAAGAGGATTTCGCTCGACGTAACAATAATAATAAAAAATATGATAAGAACCATCGGAGGTAGATTATTATTGGTATTGTTAGTATTATGTGCTGATTCAGTTGATGGATCTATAAATAATCACGATAAATAGGAAAAAAGTTAGCTAAAGATTAATAATATTTTTCTCTTTTAACAGAAAGAAATGAAGAATTTATGTGCACGCTCGACTATTCCGAGATGAATAAATGCACACGAACCAATTAGCGCAGAAATTGACATTGGAGTATTCTTTGCTCTTGATGATTTTTGCTAAAAGTGTTGAAAATTTGGTGTTTGATTTAGTTATAGAAAAAGATTTTGAAAATGAGCGATTGGTGGGGGGAGAGAGAGAAGTCATCGAGAGTAAAGCACCGACGACGACGATAATTCACAACGGAATGATTATGAAAGGAGAGAAATTTATCAAAGCATCATTATCAAATATACAATAGATGTACATAATATATAATTAGTGAATTGATCAATAATCAAGGAGCATTAATTTTAAATCTAACTATTTTCTAATTCGATCATCTGTTATTTGTAATATTATCAATTGTTTTTAATTCAAAATGTAATTAGTAAATACTCACGTGAATTTTCAAGTCAGGAGGATGAGTTATTTCAACATCTGACATATGCGGTTGTGATGGTGGTGGTGGCTGTTGCGGTTGCTCACTTTCTCGTTCTCTTGACGAGGATGGTGGTGATGATGATGATGATGACGGTGATATATGTTGTTGTTGTTGTTGTTGATAATGATGATGATGATGATGACTTCGTGAATAATGATGATGATGATTTTGATTTTGATGATAATTTGATGGCGGTTGCGTTGATGAGGGTGGGGCTGGTGGTTGATTGGAGCCAGAACCAGAACTAGAGCTATGAGCCAATGCAATTAATATCGAACCGGCTTCCGCTGCACTTTCATCATATGATGAACTATTATTATTAAGATTACTATTACTCTGATTACTATGATTATGGTGATGATGATTATTCTGATTATGATTATGACTATTATTATTATTATTATTACTATGAGCAACAAGTTCTGTTTGTGAAGAGAGATTATGCTGGTGATGGTGAGAAGTTTGATTAGAAGGCGTCGCGTGTTGATAATGATGTTGCTGCAGTGGTGTAGCGCGAGAAGTTGAGTTATAGTAAAGTTCGTTAGTTGGGGGTGGTAGCTGTTGTGGCTGTTGCCTATAAGAATTATGAGCATGTGCAGGGGGTGGTGTTAAAGGAGGATACGAACTTGACGACGACGTCGACGACGCCGTACCAACATTACTATTACTATTGGAGTGGTGATGGTAATGTTGCGTTGGAGGTGGTTCCTCGTTTAAAATGTTTGTCAAGTTGAATCCAGTTGACGCAGGTGGTCCAGAACTTGTCGATGTATCGTTCATTAGATTTGATATTGAAGTTTTCCTCGCGTTCATGTTCTTTGATTAATATTAATACTTTTTTAATATTAGTAACGATATTATTTTTATTATTCGTGTTATTAGAATTATTATTATTATTATTATTATTATTATTATTATTATTATTATTATTATTAAAATTTATTATATTAAAATTATTAGTAGTAGTATGCTTTTTAGTAAATTTTGTTGCAAGTACGGAAAATCCGTAGTTTATTTTTTTTTATTATTAATGATGATGGTCTGTCGAAAGGAAATAATTCAAAAGAGAAACAAGCAGAGAAGAGGAAGAAGAAAAACTAAGTCCAAGGCGAGAAGGAAGACGAAGCAAGAGACACGATATAGAGGTACCAAAAAAAAATATTATCGGTAGTTTTAGTTTTAGTGTTACTTGCTGCTGTTAAACGACAATTTTTATTTTATTTATTTTTATTATTGATTAAAAAAGTAATAAATAAGGATCAAAAGAAAAAAAACGGAGCAAAGAAAATATGTAGTTTATTTGATTTATTTATTTATTTATTTATTTATATTTATTTACTTACGTATATGTATATATTTTTATTTTGAGTGTAATATTTTTCTTGACTTTCAGGTGTTGATGTTGTTTCGCTCAAAATTTTATTGTTTTAATATTTGTATAAAAAAAATACTGGAAAGCTATTAATTACTTGTTACATGCAGCTTGAAACTGTTGCTATATTAATGACATTGTGGTGTCCCTATTACTTCAAAATGTATACATATATACCTGACCTGATAAAATGATGAAAAATTACTTGTCAAACGAGTTGTACATGCATTATAATAAAATAAAGTCAATTAATTAATATATTAATATATGTATGTGTATAAAATATCTAAGTATATAAATATATATATATATATATATATATATATATATAGGTATATATTAATTCAATACCATGTTTATTCACGTGAGTATCTTCCAAATTTTGTAAGGGTGTGAGTACATAATTAGCACGTATATTACATACATTATGTAATATATATTGTATATTGTGGTGCAGGTGTATACTTCCACAATCAAGGCATGAATAAAAAGGTAGTGTATGTATGTAGTGTATGTAGATGTGTAATGTGCATCAAATGAATTTCGGAAAATTGGGCTTGATTTACGAAAAGAGTATGTGTATGTGTTATATGGCATTTCTATTTAGTCATTGATGCATATCTTCTTGCACGTTTGGATTTGGTCAGTGTGTTGGTTTATTATATTATTGTTATTGTACATATCTGCTGTGGTTTTTTAATCCCATAATGATCTATTATATCACGATCTGCAGTATCAGTATATTGACATATCTTAAAGATCACTAGAGAAAATGGTTTATTTAAAATATCACAAATATATTTAATTAATTTCAGGGTTACCTAATTCTCTTTTTTTATTTTTTTAGCTTGCATGTTTGTGTATGTCGCACAAACATAAAAAAATTATTTGCTGGAGCAACACACAATAGAAAATACAGCAATTAAATAAACCGAAGATCATAATGGATCATAATCATAACACACAAATATTATTTATTAGGGAAATCAACGTTTAATGCGTGCACGTTAAATCAACAATCTTGAGAGTTATGATCGATAAGGTCATTCACATGATTCTTATAATTTTTGGGATTGATCTCTCGATTAATTTGGGGTATTTTTTTATCCTGGATGAGAGTAAAAAAAAAATCATTCTTCTCATCATTATTTTTAAAAGAAAACCATTATTTTATAATGTTTTGACGTAAAATCCTTTTTTAAAGTAAAAGTAAATAAATCAGTATAATAAATATACACTGTCTCGACGTGGTACATACTCATGATATACATTTTCCCCAATACAGGTCTCCATGAATTTCTGTGTTTGGTCGAGATGGATAACATAGATAATACACATACATACAAATAAATAAGCGAATGATCAAAAAAGCACTAGTATCAATCTCACAAAGAAGAGATAAGCCAAATACGAAAGAAAAAAATCCCATCCATTTATTCATTCACTCACATCATCCACCTCATAAAACCAACTTGTTTTGTTTTCTTTCCGGTTTAACCCCATTATTATTTACAATCTTACAAGGTAAGGCTTTGCCCTCCCCCCGATTATATACACTTTAGTTTCCTTATTGATAAACAATTACAAAAAAAAATCTACAGATCCCGGGAAATCACACAATGAGACCAAGATATTTATTTAGATCTTTCTTTTCTTGAACGCAGTTCCGCTTCTCCTTTTATTAGTTTATGCTTAAAAAAATAATTATGATATATCGTTTTAATCGGAAAAGATTATAATGCCCTATTATTTATTATTATTACTAACGCTAGAAAAACTTGTCTGCGTGCTACTGCATGATAAGAAAAATGCAATGCATTTGTCTGCATACATGTACGTATTATAAGTAAAATATGTGAGGTTTTACAAAAATAAAGTGAAAACATTGATGTATCACAGGCAAAAAGGAACACAAACACAGCAGCAGCATACATCACACAAAATATCTCGGTATCATTTTTATAACCAACAACATCATCGTTCAAAGAATACATAAATATAGCCTTAAAACGCATACCTATGTGGTAATTTTCTTGAGGCGTTTTGTGTTCTTTTATATACTATCTTCTATTATTCATTATACATGTATTCGGATTTTTGTAGCGAAAAAAAGAGAAAAATGGTTGTCACAACATCCACCTTTTTGATTTTATTGCATTTAACGTTTCTAATTTCGGAATCAATATCTCATAATAATATATTCTTCTGCATTCGGTTGATCATTTTTCTCGCAATAATAAAGTTTATTATGTATTCTTACATATATATACATATATATACATACATACATACATACATACATATATATATATATATATATATATATATATATATATATATATATGTATATTTATATATATGTATAAATATATATATGTATTGTATTGATGATGATGATGATGATGATTATTATTATTAATGTTGCCTCTTTTTCTCCTGCCGTTAATGATGTATAAAGAACGGATAGATGCGTGGAAATTGTGCTCCCTGCGTATACATATTTCCAAGTGTTGTGCTCCAAAAAAGGTAAAATGTCAATTCGTCGTTGCATCATAATCATCATTTTTCATTTATTATCATAAGTCTCTAAGGAGCAAAAGACTCTTTATGTCAATGTGCTGTATATCATGGCTTTATATGTTTGGATATTGGCATAGTGGTAAAAAAGTATTAGTGATCAAGGAGTTTTAAACGCAAATTCGCATCACAAAAATATAAAGTCCATGATTGACGACATACAACGTTCAAAAATTAAAGTTCTCACACCAATGTTTTGCATTAAAATAGGGAAAAAAGTAAATATTTATGCGTAATTGGATGCTAAACTCGGATATTATGCATAGTGATGAATTACACAATAAGGAAAATTGGCAAAACAAAAAACTAATACATTAAGCATGTACAGTACACACAATTGCACATTAAAAAAGATTATGCTTGTTTCCCAGTAGGATAAATACTAACACAGCTTCAAGAATTAAATTTTACACATGCATTTCCGTGCAGAGATTACGCATACTTACATCGAAAAGCATAAAGAATTTTTATTGTACATATATATAATATCGATATATTTATCTCTATGTATATATGCTTTCGATATAAAGAGATAATTGTGTAGTATAGTATTTGGGAATGCAAAAAAAAATACCGTGTGTAATATATGATTTTGAGAAACCATTCTTCTATGATCTTTTTCATCCAAAGAATGCAATCACTTAAAGAGCAAGCGTGTTTTTAAATCAGATACATACATCTATACTTATATGTACATACATACCATATATTAGCACACATGCGCTTTAATATTATTCCATCATAACAATAATATGAGGATTATGGTGATGCATGATGCATAATAAGTTGCATAAGGATGTAAATGAATAAAACTTGCATTCATTTTTTTTAAATTTCTTGGATAAGAAATCACGGCAAAACATTACGAAGCACGTCACGTAAAGGATACATACATAATATTAACACAGATAATTCATACGTGAAACTTCTCTATTTGTACATCATTCTCATGTCAATTGTTGTTATATTGTTATTCGTCATAAATTCTATTGTCATTTCATAATAGATTTTCAATGGGTATTATCATCTATCTAGGATATAGAAGTCATCAAATCCCCCTAGTTAAGCCTTCGATTAATCTCAAAGAGAAAGCGATCCATTCTGTTGACGGTTCAATAAGATTTCATTAGATTTATTAGAACATTTGCGGTTTGTTTTATTTATTTATCATTCATTGTTACGCTGCAGCTGGGTGAAAAATTGCATAAAAAAATAAAAACATTCGTACATTATTATTTATTTACAATATGCATAGAATGAAGAATAAACCCAATTGTATCTTAAATAAATACAAACAAATGATAATCAATTATTATTATTTCTAAAAGTCTAAAGATTTCCCCACAAGAATCATCAAATTTTGTCACGATCTTCATGGTATCTTTTGAAACCGCAGGCATGTCTGACAGCGATCATCCAACCATTAACGATTAATTTAAAACTGCAGATTGATCGCTGATTTGATTATTTTCCAATGTTCCCGTTCTCTTGCGAAATTCGTTTTTTTTTATTCCCAGGCATCATTACATATTAGAAATCAAGAATCTATTTATCCGCAAATATTTATTATCAGTAAGAATTTTTTGTATAAACAAACATTCCTTTTTTTCTCTAGATTTTCCAGTGGTAAAGATTTGTGCGTCAAACGTGCAAAATTGCGGAATATTTAATTGGAAAAATTGTACAACACAATAATATATCGATATAATCTATACATGTATGGTATCAACAATAAAGACGTAAAAAATAAACAGGTATTCGGCTGTAACTGTCACAGATTACCATAAAAAAAAAAGGGAGAAAGAAAAGGTAACTATAACATAATCAATGATCTCATTTAGAAATTGGCATAACGCAATATATCTCGCTGATATAATAATATAAACGAATGAAATGAAATCATTGATTCATTCATTGATCCATTCATTAAGTAGTCCATTGCAGTGTAAAACCTTATTTTATCTCATACGTGTGCGATTTTAATAATAACGCTTGTTCGTTTGTGTTTTGGGTTTTCTGAAACTCTGTGTCGCTCTGTTTTTTTATGCATGCATACATGCATGCATGCATGCATACCTCCACAGTGTCACACAAGAATATTCTCAGCAACCACACCGCAAATTTTTTTTTTTCGTAAGCATCCAATAGTAAATGAATGCGGTGAAACAATTCTAAAGCAACTGCAGCAAAGTTATTTTATATTCAACTCGTATTTGGAAGTGATTTCCGGTGTGAAAAATTTGGAAAAAAGAACGATATCAGGAGTTTTTTTCAACATCTGATGGTGTGACAAGATGATTTCTAATCAACACAAATAAATAAGCTATGTCGAATATCAAAACCGAATTTATAATTTATTTCATCTTGATCCACCAGTCATAAGAGAAAAAAATTCGGTGAAAAGAATTCATAAAATTTTGGTCATCATTGTCGCTCTAAATTGGTATCGCAGGCTTTATTTAGGGCCAATGTGTTCGTCCGGTTTATTAGGGATAATCCTTCCAATTGTATTCTCCAAAAAAGAAAAAAGAAAAAAAAGAAAATTAAAATTTATTTATACAAATAAAGATAGAAAGGGAAGCGAGAATCATCAAAAGAACAAATAACACATGATAAATACATCACGCAAACGCGGAGGATCGTGTATCGTGTAATACCGTAAATGTATTATATTATGTTTCTTATTTAACGCGTGTTATTTATGTGTGTGTGCGTGTGTGGGGAAATGTTCTTTCGATTCGGATCTATTTTAATTTTCCCTTTAGCTGTCAATATGAAATCAGGGGTAAAGAACGCGGGGAGGTTTCACGCAGTTAAAAGTCAGATGGCTGACAAGAAGTCTTTTAAATATATAAATACACACATCTTCACTCCTTGTTTCTCTCTTTTTTTCGAATCAATAATCAGAAATAACTAATTTCGTTTCGTCCTCTTATTTATGTTGAAGTCATAAGGCATTTCATCTCCTTGGGATCGGCAGCAGAAAAATTTAAATAAGAATCCGTATTCAAATTTGAACCATTTTAGAATAGATGTAATATTATTATATAAAAAGTACATGAAAAAAAAATATCTTGAATAAATAAATAAGCAAGTAATAAGCAAATAATAAATAAACAATAAATATGCATAGACATTCCCACACAAGCAGCAAGTACTTTTCATAATATTTGATTTATGCATCTTCGTATGCTTTGCCTTGCTTTTACTTTGCTTTGCTTGATAGTAACACATAAATCGTCATCATTACGAAACCCCAATTTTTTTATTTTAAATAAACAACAATCCTAAAATCTAAACTTTGTATGATTTTGAATATCCAATGTCGCATGTATATATTCCTTGATCACGAGGAACCACTTGGCAAATGGTATAAAAGACGGAGATGTTGAATTACGTCAATTTCTGTTTTAATTTTATGTCAAAAGATGCTATTTTATTTTATCTTCAGCCAAAGCTGTCAGTTATATACCCCAGATTCGCTTTAAAGTGATCATGTGACGGATCCTTTGATTAAAGATGTCTATCAAATTCAGAAATTCTTGTGTAAAATAAAAGAACTTGTAAATTATCTTTTTATTAAACATTTAACTGACTGACTTCTCGTAGTATAGTTAATATATTTTAAATCTGATACAGCATCAATCTCAGATGCTAAATTCACGAGGTGCAACCCGAACATCATCAATGTAGGCTGATGTCAGTTGTTTATATTATCAATTTTTCTGAATAAAAATTAAAACCTTGCGAAAACCTAGGGATCAATGAAGTTTTGCTATGAAATTTACATGCTAAATCTCATTTATGTGAATAGAACAAATTCATCATCGAAAAACATCAAATAATGGTAAAAAAGTTAAGTGGTGCTTTTCATTATTGATCGCATTTCTTTACTCATTTAACATGTCAAATTTTTTTAAGTCATTCGTTTTTCACGAGTCAAAACCTCGATGAAATTAAATTTTTGGTTAATTCACGAAAAATTTACGCGTGACGAGGCTGTATTACATATGCACTTAAAGACCTGCATATTTTATATTTGTAGCCACAACACCATCAATAAAATTAAAAAAATATAAAAAACAAAAACCGGAATACCACGCATAAGAAGGGAAATGAAAAAAAATAAAAAGAAACCATATCAAAAATGTAGAAGTATATAAACAAGGCAGTAGCAACTCGTTGCAGTCAAAAGTTCCAGTCTATAAATAAGCTCGTTCGCTAAAGATCAAAATTCTACGTATACATGCTAGTGACCAAATCTCCATGTCATATAAGAGAAAGCCAGCGATAAAAAGTGCCCAATACTGTCTGTCCATGTGAATCAAGATCGAATGTTCTGCTGTATTATTTTAACGCCGAGCAGGGGACGGAGTTCTAGGAGGACCAGCAGCGCCACCACCACGTCTTGGAGGTAGTGGTCTACCTATGGGGCTAGGTGACCTCGGACGCCCAGTATATGGGGGTGGAGCTCTACTACCTCTCACTGGACTCATAGACCGACGTCTTGAAAATAACAAGAAAACAATTTCTATATTAACAGCATTCAAGTTGCGAGCATATGTAATTTGATGCTTACCTATATAAACCTACACGAGGAGATATCGGTCTCATAGGAGGAGGGGGGACTAAATTATCGGTAAAACGAGATGGTGGTGGTGGAGAACGGCCACGGTATGGTGGGAGTGGCGGTTCTCTAAAGTCAAACAAAGTCATATCATTAGTAACGTTTATATTACTTCTAAATTGAATAATTAAAAAATTCCCGTATTTACCTTATACCTGTACGTTCATAACTCGTGCGACGTGGTGGTAGTGGTGATCCGGTCCTTCCTCTAGCAGGATAAGGAGTAACATCTGAAGGAGGTAAAGGTCTACGCTCATAACCTTCTCTTTCATAGCCTTCTCTTGAGGGAGGATAGTAACCACGGTCGTATGGATCTCGATTGTAACGCTCATAATCACGATCAGGATAAGTTCGATCGTAAGGTCTGTCTCGCTCTCTTTCATAACCTCTATCATATGTGCCACGATAATCTCTCCTATATTCCAGTTCAGGTTCTCTTGCATAACGATCATACGGAGGACGATCATAGCTACGATCTTGAGGTGGAGGAAGATATCTTTCATCACCACGATCATATTTATCTCGTCCGTCTCTTGGATTGTAAGGTTCTCTCACGAAACTATCGGTGATCCGACGATCATCGTAACGATTATTGAATTTGCGAGTATTTGCTTCACGTCCGGTGCTAAATGACAATTATTATACAAGACATCAGCATTTTTTAGGATCTGTGTTTCTATCGATCTCCAAGACCAAAGAGATGAGATAATCAATGATCTTAGCTGATAGCTAAATTCCCAACAGCAAGCATAAAGAAGACAAGTGTAACTCCAATTTGAAAAAGATGACGAATGCGAAGCATGCATGCAAATTAATTTATGTTTGATGAGCTTCTAAATTCTGCTTTGTCTTGTGGATGATTGTAGGCTATCATTGGAAATATGTATGTATGTATGTATGTATGTATGAAGATGGCTCCAACGGATGAAGCGGAGCTGCCAGCTTTACAGATCAGGACACACCACGAGAGCGAGGTACGGTGCTTACCTAGTACATTCGCGTGCCCAATGTCCAACTTGGCCGCATTTAAAACATGTGTCGCCTGATTTACCTTCCCTGTATTTATAGACGCTAGTTTTCTCGGCGTGTGCATATTCTACACGTAATTGTGAGCCTTGAAACTCGGAACCATGAAGTTGATTGATTGCCTCATCGCACATCCGACGTTCTTCAAATTCCTTTCATTTTTTTTTATGAGTAATGTCAGTACTGTAAAGCAATATCAAAGTCGAGAGTATTGTCTTCTATGTGATTAGATGGATTAATGCGACCAAAGGATTTCAAAAAAAAAAAAATAACAGAGCGGTGATAGGGAACGCGAATTGATGGGTGTTACACCTGGTGATGATGTGTCAACTAAGAAAATGGATTAAACAGAAAAAGACAAGAAATCCTTTGGACGCATCGATGAGATGATGATGATGACGATGATGCATCGATATCCCTTCCAAGATTTGACCCGGTCGTATGTATTAAATATGACTGCGTCACAGTTGATACTGTCATCACCAAAGCAATACACTTACAATAAATCCGTAATTTCCCTTGAGTTCCATGTTAACCACGTTGCCAAATTTAGAGAAGCACTCTTTTATTTCTTCCGGTCTTGCTCTATCTGGCAAATTGCCAATATATATCTTGACCCCCACATTTGGCATAGCTGGCAGACTCATGCAGTAATTCTTCACCGAGAGAAACTATAAAACTCAAAGCTATTGTGTAACTGCACTAGATAGATGTCTTCTGAGACGACCAATCAGTTTTCACACAAGGTTTTTTCTGTTACTGAACTCTGTAATCTCGTAAAGTAAGACGAGCAGACGCTATTTTAATGAAATAAAAAGAACAAGCTCCGTAAATGCACTTTTCTTTTAAGTCAATAGGTCCTGGAACAAATGAATATGATTTTTTTTGCAAAGATAATGATGTTTTCTGTTTACGTCATCATAACAAACTTTGATGCTCCCGTGAGATTTTCCGCCACCCGTGAATCTCAAATCTATGATATCACACTAATTTTTGAAATCTAATACTAAAAAACGATTTTAATTTATATTCGAGTCCGCAGTCTTTAAAACGCACAATGTTCTTATCGCTATATATGAGGGGAAGTATTGTATTGATACTTTTGAAGTACATTAAGCCATTTGCTATTCTCTGTGTGGAATAAAAGATTGAATCATTAGAGAATATATACATGTATATGTGTGATGTTAACTAAATATTTTAAGAGTATATCGATGTGTGTGCAACATTATCGATTCCTCAATCATTTAATAAATGAAAACTCTTCTATAATCGAAACCAAATAGACATTGTCTTATTGCTAATTTAAGAATTCTTTATGAAATCAAAAAAGGAAATGTTCCTATATACAAAAGTTCAAAAAGAGAAGATGACGTAAACTCTCTGACGTAAACTCTCGAATGTTCCATAGAATCAATCCTCAATCAGCGAAAACAATCGTTTCAAATCAATCTTGAATTCGGGAATAGATGTATATTGACATGATCCATAATTAGAATGGTGATGATGATACACCACCTTCACATTCCCAAACCATTTTTCGCCAAATAAATTATTATTATTATTCCCCTTACGGTGTTCAATTCTCTCGCTCAAATCATACCATTTATTTTGATCTTGTCCTTTTACACGAACCCAAAATTCATACCAATTGCAGCGAAGGGACCAATGTGGTTTGGTGATTGGTCGAATTCGAGCACAAAAGTCGTTGGCGTTGGGTGCAAGAATTCGCGCGTTGAAATCCGCGTATTCCCATTGAAATCTTTTGTCGCCATCAAAGGACTGAATAATGATAATATTTTTTAATTACGAAGAGTCTTCGGATTGCAAACACTGCATATGGTACATGTAGAATAAAATTACCCATCCAGCAATTCGCCACTTTATTTTATTACGGAATTTATCAAACACAACCATCTCAATGATTAATTTCATCTCGCGTGATACGCAACGAAACTTCCAAACTCTTCGCAAGCTTCAAATTTAACGAGAAATAGATTGCAATTACTGCCTTTTTTTTCTCTTCCCATTTAACTTATCATACAAAGTCATAATTTACCCAGTTTTTTCAGCGACCTCTGAAAAAATTCGGATCATCGTTTCGGTTGGTAACGATGGTTTGTCATTCATCTTGGCAAAAAAAAAAAAGGGCGGTGTATGTAGCGAAAAAAAAGGCGCCCCCACTCATTTATTACTAAGCAACACAACTTTGTACTAGAACATAAAAGAGTAGTGGCGAATAGTGAAACATTTCAAACAAACTGTATATTGATACTTCCCATCAATGAAATCAGCGAAGTATGATTATTGATTTAAGTGATGATAAATGAAATGTCTTCTTTGACATAACGATAACAATAATGAAGAATGCATTGATTGCACAATTGAGTAGTAATCATTGTAATAATCTCCTTTTTATGCTTAAAGTGCCAAAACTTCGTCACGAATTCGATAGTATTCTCTAAACGCTCGCACGGCGTATTCCATAAAATCATATTTGATGTCAGAGAATTCCGAGGATAGCTAGAAAATAAAAAATTTGTTCGACACTATTATCAATTAAGTAAAAGCAAGTGGGGCTCATGCCTACCAATGTCCATACACTACAGTAGAAAAGGGAAGCGAGCTGGAATTTCGCTACTTCTCGATACAAATTTTCTACTTCTGCATCGGTGACTTCAGTCTCTATTGATCCAAAAATTTAGTTCGATTCATTCAGATAACGCGCGTAACAATAGCGTAATAAATAAGTTTACCAGGATGAAAAGATGATAAGTAATGACGTAGCCAAACGAGTTGAAATTCTTTGGTCGGGTATAAGCTATAATCACATTGCCACCCTAAAAGTTCGAAAAATATCGTTTTGCACGATTGATTGATTCTTTTCATACGCAAAAATTTTATTTGCTCGACTTACCAGCAAAGGTATTAAAATGATTTCCAATGTCAAATCCACGATAATTGTATCCACCATACTCGAAATCGATAAACGTTACCGAGTTCTCGTCTTTATAGATTATGTTGGGGTATAGTAAGTCGTTATGACAAAATACCACCGGATAATTTGGTTTTGCGAGTTGCTCTTCAAGGAAGTATAGCTTAAAGAGAGAAGAAAATTTGAAGTTAGAAAACTGAACAACTAACTTAATGGATCTCTGCATACCTCTTCTTTCAATCTTTTTAAATTCAGGTTGCTAGCGAATTTCTCATTAACTTTGGGATCGGTGTATTTTTCAGGCACTTGAAAGAAACTATAATTAGTCATTCGAGAAGATAATCTGGATCTTGATCCATTCCATTGCTCACCTTGATTTAACCATCTTCGAATTTTGTCAAACAAAACTGGCTTCTTCGAGCCAGCAATCTCCACTCTATGGAATTTAGCCAAATGTTTAGCGACTAATGCGGATTTATTCATGTTTGGAAGATCATGCTGAGCGAATGGTTCGCCTGGAATGTATCCATACACCACGCCATTATTGAATTTTGCGTAGAGTGGAGCAGCAAGCCCAAGAATCGATAAGGCGACAACATTCTGTATTAAATTCACAATGAGTTTGATTATTAAAACTAGTTCCCAAGAAAAAAAATAAAATTATGAATAATTCTTACCAATAATTCTTCCTCCCGATTAATAAATCTTTCGGAATTACGTCCAAATATGCGAACCAATACCACCACGCCAGTTTGTTTATTAGTGACTTTCACAACTTAATCATTGTTTAAATAAAAAAAACCCTTTATAAATATTTGGCAAATTTAATAACGTCTCTCGCATTTTAAACTTACGTTTATTAGTTAACCCAGACGCAATCTCAAAAAACTCCAATTCTTGTTCATCCCAATCCGGAAAAACATTCAATAAAACATGAGTTGCGGTTTTAAACAAGTTTGTGAGATCAATAGAGTAATCGAGTGTTTTTACTGTTTGCGCGATATAATCTTGTAACGCTGTCGTTGACGTTACATCAATCTCGTTGGATGTGGACGTCATATCGATATTTTTTTTTCAATTTTAATTTGTACTTGTTGATGGATTTTAAATGAACTCAATTTCACATGAATTCACTCATTCTTCATTGTTTCTAATTATACGTAACAGTTGCAATAATAATGCAAGTAAATGTACGCCTTCAAAAACAAAAAAGTTAAATTTGGAAGGAAGATCGACTTCTATATCAGTATCGACGTATAAATGAAACAAACTTAAATCGTTTTAGCACAACAGAAATATGAGCAATCAAGCCAAAGTCGCTATTGTCACCGGCGCGGTAATTAGAAACTTTCTTCTTATTTCAACGTAGCGATTTATTTATTCAGTTTTTCATATTTCATTAGAACAAGGGAATTGGTTATGCCATAGTGCGTAATCTCGCACTATCCTATTATACTTCTTCGTCATCAAAACACCCCTTCATCATCTATTTATCCGCTCGTAACGAATCGCTTGGTAAAGCATCATTAGAGCAAATAAGGCAAGAGTTCGTTGGGCGTAAATTATTGCAAAATGATGGTGGAAATATTGATATCAAATTTTTGAAGATTGATTTGACAAATAAAGAGACTATTGACGTAGCGGCGGAGGTTGTGAATCACGAGCACGGAGGTATTTTTTTTTTCTTAAATTAGCATTTAAAAATATTCTATTACAATCATTAATGCTCATGTTTTGCTTAAAGGTCTAGACATTTTAATAAATAATGCTGGAACGGGTAAAGTTTCAATTATTATCTTGTATGCTAGATTTTTATTTCTACACATACCAAATAATAGAATGATATTAAACATACAGCATTTAAGGGTTCTGCATTCGACTCGAACGTTGTGCGTACCACTTTAGCAACGAATTTCTATGGTACATTGGAAGTGTGCAATAAATTCATTCCATTATTTCGTCCAAATGGTCGTTTGATCAGTGTGTCAAGTGAAGCGGGAAGTCTTCGAATTTTGAGCCCGGAACTTCGAAAAAAATTCACAGACCCTGAATTGGATATCGATGGATTGATTAAACTGATGCAATTATTCCAGGTATGCATCACTTGCTAATTTTTACTATTAGTACATTTTTACATTGTTGATTAAATAGGATGCAGTCGATCGTGGCACTTGGAAAGAAGAAGGCTGGCCCACACAAGGTTAATTATTAAAATCCCTTTATTTAGCTAATTTGATGGTAATATTTTAACATATAATTTTAGCGTATGCCATCTCGAAAATTGGAGTAACATCATTAAATCGTATCTTTGCAAGACACTTCAAAGCCGAAGGCAAAGAAATTATAGTCAATGCTTGCTGTCCTGGCTGGGTGAATTTAGCTTCTCAATTACTCATTTTATTATTAAATTGTTTAATTCGTTCATTTATTTATTATTCATTCATAAACCTAGGTGAAAACTGACATGGCCGGTCCGCATGCACTTTTGACACCTGGTATATAATTAATAGTTATGATTTTTTAAGAGAAAAAGATCACTCATTCTCTTTGTTTCATCACCATAGATCAAGGCGCCGAAACTCCGGTATTTCTTGCTTTGGACGAAGAAACCGTACCAAATGCACCAAATGGAGAATTATGGAAATCGAAACAAATAAAAGAATGGCACTTGTTATAGTATAAGCTTTTATAAATCTCAATTTCTGGAAAGCACACATGCGTCATATTATACATGCATTTTTATTAATGAGAAATACAAGTTGCATTTTAAATGAACTATAACTCGGATGTTCTGGCTTTAATTCTCGTCAACTAAGTAATAAAGAACATTATCAACTACGTACAAAAGAGACCAGAAAGTATGATATAGCTAAATAATTTAGGAAGCAGAGTAGCGTGTTATTTGGCAAGAGTATTCAGGATAACAAGTAATGAGGGTATTATAGTGAGGTAAAGGGTGTTATGATGGATATAACAAGCTACTAATAACATTATTAGTAATCCATCACAATACCCACCTCCATTATAAGACTCCCTTTACCATATACCTAAAGAATTCGAAAAAAAAGAATTTAATAATCCAACTATAAATCTATCGGACACGTGGAATGGTATCACCAAAATTGGGAAAATGGCATATACAGTGGCGATCAAAAGCAAAAATGCAACGCAAAATTGAAAACAAAATTAATAAATGTGACAGATTAAAACGAAATTTGTGCCGATTTTTTGTGCATATCACGTGATATCAATATCATGTGTTTTATTTATTTAAAATTATTATAATATGTAATTTAGCATCAATCATATATCAATATGTGACTTAGTAATATAAAAGTGATTTTTCTCATTATATCTTAAAATTATCATTATTTTATTTCTAACTATTAAAATTAATATTATTATTTTAAAAGTTTATTAATAATTTATGACATATATAGATTATATATCAACTTATAAAAGATATTATTATCAGTATTTGTAATGCTCTTTGTATTCAGAAAATTTCATAATATTATACATGATTTTTAGAAAGTTATAGGAGATCAGTTACTTATAAAATTAACTGTAATTAATTAAAAAGAATAATAGTTTATTTTTTTATATTTTATAACTATTTTATTATTATTATTATTATTCAAAATTATCTTTATAAAACTAAAAATATTAAAATTTTAGAATATATTATATAACTACTTTCTTTATAATAAAGAAAAAAATCTAATAGATTTTTATTTTATAATAAAATATTTATAAAAAAAATCTTACTTTATAATATATTACTAATATATTATATAATATATATTATAATAAATATTATTTATAAATTAAAATTTTAATTAATTGATTTTGTTTAAAAGTAATTAATAATATAAGATTATTACTTATTTTTAATATTTTTTTTAAATAATTTAATACTTTAAAGTATTTAATATTTTTATAGTTTTAAAATTAATTATTATAAGATTATTTTATTATAAATATTTTACTATATTTATTAATTTTTTTAATATATTTATTATCTTTACCAAGACTTCTAACTCTTTACTATTCTCTAACTTTTGAATCTTTTTATTACTTATAAACTTGATAATTTTCTTATTAGTTATTTATTTTTTACTTATAATTTAATTATTAATTTGAATATATTCTTTTATATTTAAAGAATTAGAAATATATAATATTTAATTAATAATAATTAAAATTTATATTAAGATTTAATTAATAATAATTAAAATTTATATTAAGATTTAGTATTACTAAAAGTAAGATTAATTATTATTAGATTATTATTTAAAGTTATAAAAGAGAAAAGTATATTAGTATATATTAACTATTTTTAATTATAATTTGAATTATAAAATTTTAAATAGTATTAGAAAATTTAATTATATTTTGAATCATAAATAAATTAAAACTTCATAAATTCAAGTTGATTTTAATATAAAATTTATTAATAATGAATCTAATAGTAATAAAATATAAAATATAATTATTTTAAATATAACTAATAGTAAAAAAATATAAAATAATAATATCAAATTATAATATTTTTAAGTTATAAATAATTTCTTGATTAATTAATTATAAATAAGATATTATATTAGGAAAAAGAAAATAAATTTGAATATTAAAAAGAATTTTAAGATTTTTTATTTTATAATATTTAATATTATTTATTAAAAAAAATATGTTAACTAATTTTATATATTTTAATATTAAATTAATTAAGATAATAAATAAAAAACTAATCTTTATATTCAAGTCTTATTATTCTAGTAATATTAAACTGAAAGAGTATTTTTATCAATTTTTTAGAGAGTAGTTAAAATTTTAAATTTATAAATAAATTACAAAGATAATTTTTTTCTGATTGAATTATATATTATTATAATATTGATATAATTTTTAAACTTTTTCTTTTCAGTTATAAGTTTATGAATAAGAATTTAACTTGACTTGAGTTTTAAAAAAATACTATTTTATCATAATTAAAAATATTTTTTAAAGTATATTTATAAAATATCTCTTATAATTTTATTTAAAATTATAAAATTTCTTTGATTAGAATACTTACTGATTCTTTTCTTTATTTATATAAGCTAAAACTATTTTACTTTTTAAATTTTACAAGTCATCTATCAAAGATATTAAAGTTTTTAATATTAAATCTTTTAATAAATTATTTTACTTTTTCTTGAATAATATAATTTTGTAAGTTTCTGAATAATAACTTGATTAATTTAAATTATTATTACTTTTTCAATTTTAAAAAAAAAATACTTTTTGATTATATTTGGATTTAATAAAAATAAATTTTAATTTAAAATTTAATTAGTATAAAGATCTTTTAAGAATTTTAAGATTTGCTTACTAATTTTAAAATTTTCTACTAATTCTTAGTCTTTTATTAAGAAAAAATAATATTTTTTTTTACATAACTCTTTTTTTCTTAAAAAAATAATAAAATTCTTTATATTATTATTTTTTATTATTATAAATTATATTTATAAAGATAGATTTTATCAGAAATATAATTTATAAGTTTTGAGAACTAAAACTGAATTATTTATAAAGATAAAGGAGATTATAATTATTTTAAAGATTTTTTAATACTAATACTTATAAGTATTATATTAATATAAGATAAAAATAAAATAAAATTAAAAGAAAATTATAATTACAAAACTAAAATTAAGAATAGATATCTAAAATTAAAATATTAATTACTATAATTAAAACAAAAAATTTTATATACTAATTAAACTTTCTAATAGTTTTTTTTAACTATTAGAGTATACATTAAAAATAAATTAAAGCTTTTATATATGAAAAAACTTACAAGAATCTTTATAAATCAAATAAAATATATTTGACTTATTTTAAGTAAAGAGTATCTACTACCTATATTTTTTAGACAAGAAAAATATATAATTAATCAGAATATAATTATTATAATAGAAGTAATAATTAAAAGCAGAATATTAAGATAAAAGTTATAAAAAAATTATAAGATAAGTATAACTCAAGTATTTTTAAGAATAATTACTTTATTATTATTCAAGTATATTTATTTTATATTTGAGAGCAAAGATATTTATATATCTTTGAGATTTTACAAATTCTATCTAAACTCTATTCATAACTTATTTACTATTCTAGTATATATAATATTCATTAAAAGTATTTTCTCTTATTCTAAATCAACAAGATAAGATAAATGAAAAATCTTTTTTTATTTAAAAGCTCTAATTTTATATAACAAGATTAGTACATGATTAAAGATACCCTCCAAAATATATTTGGCAAAAACCAAAATCTGAAATCTTCATATATAAATAGTATTTACTATTATCAAAATCTTTTGACATATCTGCAACTCTTTGGCATAGCCAAAACTCTTTTGACATAGCCGAAATCTTTTTGGCATAGCCAAAACTCTTTGACATAGCCAAAACTCTTTTGGCATAGCTGAAACTCTTGTGACATAATCAAAATCCTTTTGGCATGCTGAAACCCTTTTGGCATAATAAAAATTCAAGCATTGTAAAACTAAAATTTATGATTTATTCACCAAATTCTTCTAATAAATCATTATTACTAAAATTTAAAATTCCTCTTCCTACTATAGTTTCATTATTACTATTACTGTTACTATTACTAGCAACTATAGAAGTTTGATCATCATCTAAAACATCTATATCTTCTTCTGGAATTCTTCCTAAACTATTAATAATAAGATGATTATTAAGATTAATTATTTGTTTAATAGTTAAGAATTCAATTATTACTGTAATATTCTCAATAATATCACTACTTAAAGTTCTTGAAAGTTCATCCACATCCTTCTCCTTCTCCTCATATGCTTTGGCTATTACATTCCATATTATGATCAAGATTTGATAATCTGATAATTTTTCATTGAGTTTTTCATAAAAAACTAATTCTTTGTAAGTATTAGACTGATAAAAGGATATTAACTTCATTATAGTTTCTAATTTTTCCATACTAAAACAAAGGTGACATTTGCTAGTGAGCCATCCTAAAGTAGAAAATCTCTTTCACAACTTGTCAAATTTAAACAAATAGAAAATAAATATATTACGAGTTATTGAATATGATTTTCCTTGAGTTTGATATAATTTCACCATTAGAAGAGGTCATTATGAGATAAAGTGAATAATAGATCAAAGAGAGATTCATAGCTCTTATATTATTGAAGTTAAGAACATAAAACTCTAGTAGCTTTAAGGTCCTATCCAAATGAATATCCAATATCTATGACTACTTTAACAATTCAATTATACATGCCAAATTTAAATAGCTTAGCTATAATAAGAAGTTACAGTGGTCGTCATAAATATTCAGAATTTTTGATATAGCGCATAGAATAATGAAAAATTGTCAAAATTGCCTGATAATTTAGACACATCTTCTTTATAAC